TATATATATATATATATATATATATATATATATATATATATATATATATATATATATCAAAAGTCAGTTTGGGCCCCCCTTCATTTTGCCCCCCCCCCTCAAAAAAAAATTCTGGTGGGAAGGAAGGGGGGGGGGGTAAAGTTTTTCCGAAAGTAAAAGACCCCAAAATTTTTTCTCAAACCTATTGGATGGGAGTTAAAAGTACGAGTTTTCACTCAGACTGGATTTTTGGACCTGAATTCTCCACAGTACACCCAAATATTTAACACGTTCCGAAAGTCCAGCATTTACGGTTCCCCTCTGGAGAAATTGGGCCCCCCTACCTGACTCTTCTTTGGGGGTGTTACACCCCCCCCCCCCCCCCACCTCAGTCGGCACGGCCCTGCATACGGAATACCGTGTTTTCGTATATTTGGCAGTACTGTTTCAGTTATTTCAGGCTATTTCAGTTATTACTGATTAATATACCGGTAAGTATTTTCATATCACAGATCATTAACCGATATAGCTCCTCTTTCTTTGTTGTAAATATTGTCTTCATGTCTTCAAACAACAAATTAAAAATGTATTTGTAGCAGTTTGGAAATTACATATTAATTGACTAATGAAGTTAATTATAAACTGATCATAAGTGTTAGGCACTGGCTGGCTTCCAGAAATATGTTTTTGTGGGGGCACGCTTCCATGCATTGGCTTCAGGCAATGGAGGCGAGTTACCCGGCAAAGGGAGCTACTCGCCCAGGAACTGACAAACATGCGCTTTGTTTAGTATGGAATCGAGTTGCTCGCATGACGCCGAAATGGCGCCAAAATACAAAAAGGAATTAAGTCGTTTAAAAAAAAACATTACAAAATATCAGGGGCTGGTTGTATAAAAAAGTGATTAAAGTAGTTAGTGGAAACGTTATCCAATAAGAAGCGCGTATTTGAGAGTTAATCACTATTTAACTACAAAATAATAATTAAACAAGTGATTAAGAGTTTTATACAACCCGGCCCCTGGTCAAAATACAAGAATAAGCGACGAGAAATTCAAGAAAACTTATCTATCGATTCGTATGCATTTCTGAGCTATTGATATTTCACATGCAAAGCACATATACATTCGAATCTAGCTGGGGCGGTCGAGTTACCAGGACAAAGTGTTTACATGGTAAAATATTCATCTCTCCTAGGTGATATCCCGCCTCTTTCTACCGGGAACTCGCCAAGGCGAGTTATCTCAAATAGCCGGGATCTCTTGGTTGCCGAGTAACTCACTCGCCTTACCGGATAACTCGCCCGTAGAGGCTAAAAATATATCAGGAAGTAGAATATATAAATATGTAACTGGAAGGGAATATATAAATATATATTGTTAAGTATATATATATTGCATTAAAGTGTGGAATATTTTGTTTTGGTTAATTGCCATATGCCCCCATATCATTACGAACAATCTAGAGATTCAAACTAATTAGCATTTTATGCCACTTGACTCAAACGCGTGTTTCTATTTTACGGATGCACATATACTTTCGCTTCATCACTGAATGTTTAACTGGAATTTAGGAAGGAAATTGTAATTAATAATATCTAATTCATAACAATTATATTATGTTATCTAACTGTTATATTGTTAAGTATATATATTGCATTAAAGTGTGGAATATTTTGTTTTAGTTAATTGCCATATGCCCCCATATCATTATACGAACAATCTAGAGATTCAAACTAATTAGCATTTTATGCCACTTGACTCAAACGCGTGTTTCTATTTTACGGATGCACATATACTTTCGCTTCATTACTGAATGTTTAACTGGAATTTAGGAAGGAAATTGTAATTGATAATATCTAATTCATAACAATTATATTATGTTATCTAACTACAGTTGTCTGTATATAGTTCTCAAATTTTCCTAATTGGACTTGTACTCACTTTAATAAGAGAGACTCCCATGCAACGGCTTATAAACTTAAGATATGAGTAGTTATTATAAAAGAACACGGACACAAAATCGAAGGTTTTTGTTTTGTTATGGAATAACGGAATAACTCATCGAACGGTGGCTTGGTGACCAGTGTAGCTTGGTGGCCAGTACAATTACAGACAGATTAGTTCGAAGTTCTGTTTATAACTCGTTCTGCTCAGGTAGTTACAAGATATTAACTGTCCGAGTATGTTCTTTTCTCTTTATATATTTCGCAAAATTGTCCGCTGCTGTAATAAAGGTTGTGACACACCGGACGCAATTTGACAACGCGGCGCGATTTTTCGATTTTCACTGACCGATAACTTTGATAGTCGGAGTAAATTTTCCAAATATTTTTAAACGCTATAACCTTTTGAGTTATTTGGTCTACACATCCTTTAAAATTTCCTTTCATTGGCTGTCTTATTAACTTTCCAAAACTGAAAAATCGCGCCACGTTGTCGAATTGCGTCCAGTGCTGTCCACGACAAGAAGAGTAAGAGGATATAGCCGTAATACAGCCATAAGCCAGTCCCTGACAAAAGGACGTTCCCTCGACACCTCGCTTGAAACGGTGAACGGCGTTACACGCAAGCTCGCGCACAAGCCCGCAAAATGATTTGAAAATCTGTCGTGTCACTGTAACTGAGTCTGCACGCTAAGGGTGACGGGAAGTCGAATAGGACAGTACTAGGTCCGTGCGCAAAGGGTGATGGGAAGAGGGCGATATGAGTACAGTAAACTTCATGTAATGATCGTTGTAATTTACGCTACGCGAAGACATTCGAGTCGTGATGCTGTTAAATTTTGCACAACAAGTCGTCAAAGCCCTTTACAGAGTGAAGTCTTGAAATATGTATCCTGTTTTAAATTTATACTTTATTCATTCTATACATATCTCATTGCATTCCATTAGCTGTGGTTTTATACTTGAAATAAATATAATTCATTTAAAAATAAACTTAGTATTTAAATATAGCATATTAATGCGGTGTGTTTGGTTGTGTTTTCTGAAATTCGACGCAAACAGTTCCAAAGTTCAATAGTGCATTTCTTGTGGTGTAATTATACCCTTGTAATTATCCTCTCGTAACCATTACTAACAACAAACCATGCACGGAAATCTTTATGTATAATTATTCCAGATTATTCCGGAATCAATATTAACCACAAAATACTTGCGGTAAACTATTTTAGCATCAGTATTTTGCAAAACTTGGAAACCAATGCTTAACTTTAATAGTGTTGCCTTGGAAAAGAACGCCTGTTGGAATATTGTATTTCAGTATTGTGTTTCAGAAGAAGATGTTCGCCATGTCATTAAAAGTTATTAAGAACTCGAGTGTTTCCGGCTGTTCCAAACCATATATAACGCACGTACGGTGTCAGAAGTTGGATTCAAATTTCAGTTCACCAGCTGGGCGAGTGGTTTTAAGTTACAAGCTAAAAGGCAACTGTGGTTTTGTATTCATTTTGTAACTAAACCTTGGCTCGCAATGTATAAAATCGTTCTCGCTCTTGTCTTGGGGCTTTTCCAAGTACTGAAAGCGAATAAATCGACGCCAAAGTCGTGCGTGCGGGCCAATCGAAATTGTCAAGACGATGTGTTCGTGTGTGCACTCTTATATGGTCAATTCGCGTCTGCTTGTGGCTTAGACGTAAAGCTTATGTCGACCAGAAGCAACCCGAATTTTACCTATTTAGTATCTCCTACACCCAAACCTTGCTCCAAGGACTGCATACAAGCTATAAAGGCACTCAAACGTACCAAAAGGGGCAAAGAACTGCACGAATGCGATTGTGAACTGGATGGCCATTGTTTAGTTGTGAAAGCTCGCGTCGCGCGCTGCTTGAACAGGACGAAACATGGACCGTACATTAGCTGTACGAATGCGCTAGTGAATTGTACGATGGACCCGACATGTAAATTCTTACAGAGTAAATTTCTCGAAGATTGTCGCGAGATGGTCAATGGAGTTCGATGCGAAGAGAAATGCTTGAGAATTCAAGATAGATTGTTTCGGTCGACTTACGGAAAGCCTCTGGCCAAATGCGCATGTGACGGTCCTACCGAACCATACTGTCTCGGCATCCAAGCACATGCAAAGCAGTTACGTTGCAGTCCGGGAATGGATGGCTCTGGTTCACCCGCCTTTACTTACATCGCCATCGCCACAGATTCAAGAATTCACGGAGAAGAAATAGAACCGAAAAGCACAAACAACAACACTGCCAATTTTCATTCTCCGGCCTGGACGTCGGTGGTGGTATTAATTTTAACATCATTTTATTTTAAAGTCTTCCTTTAACGGTAATTTTAAAACTTGCTTGTTTTTGCTCTGTGATGTTTGTTTACGTATAAATATACTTGTAAGTAGCATTTTTGTTAACTAATTGTTTCCTTTAATGCTTATTAATTAGCTCGTTCCTTGCGCTCAATTAGACGAGCTATCGAAGCTTAGTCGTTCTAGGCAATTCTGTTTCATAATTATTTGTACATATATTAACGAACTTGAGAAATAGCCTATGGACATGTCAGAGTTTAGCTTAGCTTAAGTATTTGCTAAATCACACGAATATTCTATCGTATCGAGATTTCATCCACAAATGATGATGGATGAGTTAGGTTAGCGCTGTTTGCGCTGTAGTCAAGTTTACAGCTGTTGTCATATACTTGGTTTTAAAGATATTTGAATGGATTTTAATGACGGTTTTTACTGCAGAAATGCGTATCTATGTACAGTATATATTTCACGAAGACCATTTCGGCGTAAAAATATACTTATCAGAAAAAATCGCGCTCTACCAGGAACTGTATACATCATCGATCCTTCCCGACATTTTGCGCTTAAAACTCCGTCATTAAAAACCCTTCATTCTTTAATACAGCTAGTTTACACTATTGAAGTTACTTTGAACAAAGAACAGTTGAGTCGTAAAGTGTAAAAAATTGACTTGGATTGTGTCTGAGTTTCCTGAAAAAGATTAAAGACGCGATTGACGTTTTCGACCAAGATCCATTGGCATTGTCGTCGCTTCGCTTCAAACGCATTAAATATCAAAGTCTTTTAAATCTTTTCGGATATAGTTCAGACACGAACCACGGCAACTTATTGTAGAATTCTACCAACACTGTAGCCAAACGTTTGTTTAAAGTGTAAATGTGTTTGAAATACTTAAATAAAAGCGCGCACCCGCTTTTAAAAACCTTTCAAATCGTGAATTTCAAAAGCAAAAGTTCGCCATTGTGATAATTTTCACATAAATCGTGTCGATAGTGTAAGCCAGTCTTTCTGTATATGTTTGTCTATAAATGGACACAGTAAATTATATTTGTAGCTATTCACTAAAAATCTTTGTGTAAATATAACTGTATTCTCCACTTAACAGTATATGCGTTGTTGTATAGAGATCGAACTGATAGGGTAATATGAATAAAGATAATATTCCAAGGATTGCGCGTTCAAGTAGACAAAGCTTCGAGATAAAAAAAAATGCTCGTAACTTTAAAAGTGCTATCTGCACTGCACTAATTTAGTAAACCCACGATTAGATGTGTTTTCATTGCCTACTTGTAATTATCCAGTAAATAAACAAATTCAGAGAACTTAATTTGTTTACACAAGCCCGCGATTTGTATTTTTCCTTTACGTGCGCAGAAGCATCCTTCGGTAAAAAGATGTCGTTTGTATCTTTTCGGCTCATTGCGATCATGAAAGTCCGGCACTTGAACTTTGCTGTTAGATTGAAGTTTTGAAACATCGCTATAAGCCAGATCATGAGAATAACGCTTCACTTCCATTCGATGGCAAAGCGACTATGGAAGCCGTAATGGGCTCGAACACCATTTGTGGTTAAGCCTCGGATCAACCGAGGGGATGAGATGATGTGCATGCGACCTTGAATAACTGTTCTTAATGCTTTCCCAACGCTATCATGTATTCTATTTAAGTTGAAACATAGTAGGAACGCTCATGAAACCTCTATTTTGTTAATCTAAAGCTTGAAATGTCCCCTGTAACAATCGTAACTGACTATACAGAATTCTAGAACGGCAAACAGAGCGCGCGACACGCCCAGATAATTCTTAATGGAGGTACCAACAAATTTGTCCATTCATCTGTCATCTGTCAATCTTTTAAACCTACTTGACGCAGACCATTGACGGTTCAAAGGCCGTCTTATAAAACCTCAGAGTATTCGGTATGGCCAATGCCCAATGGCAAAGACCGTTGCATGTCAGTTTTGCACGTAGGTTTTAATCATAAAATAACTTCTTGTGTATACGTGTATGAGCATTATCAGTAGTGAGATTGAATAACTGGCTTAATGTTACTACACGACGAAATGATCGGCATCATTTTTGCAAAACTACAAAGATATCCGTAGTGTGATTGACTAGTTATTTACCAATGGAATTCATCTGAAATAAAGGTCAAAGAAGCCAGAAAATTATCCACTTCAACTGATAATATGGCTTTGACAGATCGCTTGGGGGCCTTCGTCATCATGTCATAGAAAATTAGGTCAAAATGAAATGGGCTTTTTGCATTGTACTTATACATCCGGCCAAATTAGACAAATTGAGGCAATTATTTATATTAATACACAAAATATGATTTTGATGAATAACTTTACATCGTTTGGATATACTAGATAAATATTTGCGCAACTGTAAAGTACGACAATGTACATAATACTGGAGTCTGGACTGGTATATATGGAGAACAGTAAAGAACTGATAGAGCTGCCCAGTATAAATAAAGTTAGTTTAGTTTAGATTTCCTCCTGTAGTAACACTGGATCAATAAGAGATAATCATTACTGGACTACTAGGGAGAACAGTTTAGAACTGCATGATAGAGCTATCCAGTATAAATAAAGTTAGCTAAAGTTAGTTTAGTTTAAGTTTCCTCCTGTAGGCTGTAGTAACACTGGATCAATAAGAGATGATCCTTACTGGATCTCTATGGAGGACAGTTTAGAACTGATAGAGGTATCTAGTATAAATCGAGATAATGCCGCAATTATACTACAAACAAGTCGCCAAACAAGTACTTAAACTGAAGGGCTAAATGACTGTACTACGTCTACATATGAAACATATCGATGATAGATTAAGAGTCATAAAAGAGGGCAAGTCAGCATGAACAATGGTTAGACACCATCTGGTATTCATCATAAGTAAATTGCTGGCTAATTCTGCATCAGTACACATCCATTGATTGGCGGATTGTCTCTTTTGAATCCTCGGTATCATATCGGATAAATTCTGGAAGAATTTCGAACACCATAGCAAGGTCATCAAGTTATAAAGTTTCAAAGTTTTACAGTTTACTATGGCGCAATGTTTCAAAAGGTTTATAAATTTTTTATATATAATAATATAAGTTATAGTCAGTGTTATTTGAGGCAATGGTTTATCAGAATATGTAATATACGAAAAGAGAAATTTGTAATCCATATTATGTAATCATGTTTACTACTATTTTGGTGAGGATGTGATTCATTTTAGTTCAAAACTTCAGAGATGAAAAAACCTCAGTGATCCAAACAAGATTTCTAAAGAAATATTTCCAAATTTATAAACCGAGCTGCATCTTGGGGAGTTTGTGGGCAGTTTGTTTTGAATTTTAGGTTAACCTAGGGTTAATCCTTTTCCGGCTGATAATTTCAGCAAAAATAAAACAAAAATTATTCCGGAATAAGGAGTGCATAATATTAACACACAATTTATAAAAAAACCCTGTATATTTCGAATCAAATCTGATTCATCTTCAGCAGTGTTTTGCAAGTATGTCGTTATACGACATATACGACATATTATATGAATCAGATTTGATTCGAAATATACAGTTTTTTATAAATTGTGTGTTAAAGATGATGTCCACTCCGTTCTGCGCATCAGTTCTGCTCATAACAAACGGGGGGACCCCCAGATATAAACATTGCCCAAATGTTGCATCTTTCGAACTTTTTTGAATTGAAACGTACAGTTTATGTTCATTTACAAGTGTAGCGAACCAGAAAAGTGTTAGATATTCAGTTAGTATATCATATTTTACAAATACAGCAGTTCAAAACGTAAACAAAGTTCGCGCATGTGCGCCGGAGTGGACATCATCTTTAATATTAGGCACTCCTTGTTCGGAATAATCGTTTTGTTCTATAGAGTGTAGGGTTAATGTTAGCGGAAATTGACTGAATTCAGTGCGCAAAATCGTAGAAATTTCATAATTTCTCAGCCGCGACTATTTTTCAAGTCCGGCTTTACAATGGCCGTCGGAAACTAGACTAGTAACTGGCAGGCCTGGTCTCTCAGAATAAGCAAGTTTAGAAACACTTTATCGTAAAAAGCAAAGCGTGTGAAAAACGAGTTCAGAAAAACTGAACCTGCGGAGAAACACTAGCATACTTTTGTTTTTCTGGACGATCTATGAGAGATTTGAATTAAACACAGTCATAGAATAGTAGTATGTTCTAGTTGATGGACTGCTGTTGAATCAGTTGTATTTTTTCATTTAGTTTTTAGCTTTTAAGTAGGGTATTTACTGCTAAAAACGAGCTTTATTGTGCAAAAATTAAAAAACATCGATCGGAAAAGCTTATAGTCATTTTTCCGCTCCCACGAAGCCCACGCAAAATACTGACGCATGTTTTACTAGTCGGCCGCCATCTTTGACTTTACCCAATCATGAGCTAGAGTCGTTTACCTGCATGGGGTTATCAATCTCAAATTCATTAATAATTCATGAGTAAATTAGCCAACCTATTGCTTTATTTTGCTGCACATTGATAATATTGGTGAAGTCAATATATTGGAGACCTTACGACTTTAGGACGGCAACGCGACGACGACGGCCAAAACAAACTCCTTCAAATAAATGGTAGTAAAGATAATTCGTCATATATTATCAATCGTATGAATGTTAATACAGCCTTAGAAGTTGAAGACATGGGTTTTATGTTTGGGAAGAGTTCTGTTGAACCCAATTTGAAGTCGCACTTGTTGCGGCTTGAAATGCAGCCGTTGTATCAAGACGTGAAAATCTGTGATTTGGCGTTGTAAACAGAGCGAGGACATTGTCTAAATTTTTCATATATTGCTGAATTATTAAATTCTTTTGAATAATTTATTGTACTGGTAGCCGTTGGCGTCGCCGTCGCGCTGCCGTCCTAAATCGTAAGATCTAATTGATCCTAGGAGTGATTAATTTTTATCCAGTCCTAGCCTAGGACTGGATCAAAATTAATCGTGACCTCACTCAAGTAGTGATTTATTCGTATGATATGTCATTTCAAATCCTCCAGTAGACCTTTCCGCATATAACCAAAATTTTGATTTAGGCAAGTGTAGACAAATATTTCATCACAGCTTGAAAGAGCATCACAAAATTAGTAATATTCCAAAGTTTCGTTGCGAAATGTTGTAAAATGGGCAACATAGAGCCTTGCGAAGTTTGCAATTTTCAGTCATTTTAGATTACAAACGGGAAATTGCAGCCCCAACACCCGAATCGGATGTCAATTTCCCGTTTGTA